CTTGGGAATTCTGCGTTCACTCTAAAGATATAAGACCACGAATCTGACAAATACAATTTGATAACTTTTACATTTGTTCGATCGTACTTTCCGAAAGCTTAAAACAATTCTTTAACCATTTGAGAGCCACGAGTCTGTGTAAAAACCCGGTCGAAAAGTGCCAAGCGGCGCGATCGCGCTTCTTTCATTTCAATTTAAAAACTGAATTACGCTTTCCTATTTTTACATGAAAAGACTGTAAATAGCGCGATCATTCCGTTTTTCCATTTCTATGCAGGTAATAACAAAAATAAAAATAAATAATTAAAAGGAAGACATAAATAAAGTTAATTTGATTCTACGAACCGATAGAGTGACACTTTTAGACAGTGTAACGCAAAAGCGCGATCGCGCCGTTTGGCACTCAAACAGTAAGAAACATCAACACAACTTAGACACTACAGAGAATGTGTCGAAAATTATGTAGCATGCCTATCATGCTCTATTCGTTCGATACAGGAGAAAGTGCTCTACTGTTTTACTATGTCAAATGTAATGCGATTATTATTGATACGCAGACTGCGGATTCTTGAGCAAATTCACGTGTTCAAAGACTAATCGACGATTAACTTCGATGAAGTCGATGTTGCCAATCTTCATTCGGTAGAATTTGTTATAATCGCGGAAAAATCCGCAGTCTACCGTGGAAGAGTCAATTAGCGATCGACCAACTCTGTGAAAACATTCGTACGAACTGAGAATGCGGTGAGGAGAAACGTCTTCGATTTCGCGGCCATGTGAACGTCGATGATGAGGTCACCATATTTCACGGTCCGATTGATGAAATACCGCACGCTATTGTCGCCCAGGTGATATGTGTTCATACCGAGACAATAACCAACTCCTGTTTTCCGCAGTTCTTGGAATTCCGAGCAACAATTGAACTTGATGTTGTTCCACGTGCAGTCGGCCAACAAATCCATGCACGGGTATCTCATCTGCGATAAAAATGACAGCACGTTTCAGATTTCTTGACTTCGAAAACGGAATATAGAGAGAGAGAAAGATCGATACAGACAATCTATAAACAAAATGGAATATGCGGAAGTAATGTAAATGCAAATAGGCGGGACGTTATCAGAAAATCACCACGTGGATATGTGGTATTGTAGTGGAAACGAGATGATTTCTTGCCTTGTCGTAAGCGGACAGCAGCTCCTCCGGTGTTGCCCGGAGCAGATTTGGGTTGGAATAATTCGAGAACATACCCGGATTCCTGTAAAAATCTCTCAAATGTATATCGTTGATAGTCTGATAAGGACATGGATCATGCGAAAGGAGTAAATGCAAAACGGCTGCTGTTGGAAAAGTTTTTTCCTTTAACACGTTGAACGCCGCACGATTTCATAGAGCAAAAGTACACAAAATGGAAAAAACACAATATTAAATCATTTGACTGAATTGGATTATTATCATTGCACGTTCATCAAACTGAATGTCACCGCAATGAGTAGCATTATTTATAATATAGAAATGTTTGCGAATAATCATCGTTTAATTGAGTGAATGATAGTAATTCGATTTGCTTAGGGGTCACCGGTGACCTTCATGGCATTCAACGTGTTAAAGAAAAAAAGAGTAAAGAATGTTTATCGCATTGCGAACTTTCTATGAAAAGGTTCCCTCTTAAATGTACAGAAAAAGGCAATGAAACTATTTAATTTTGCGATTACGCTCTCTAATTTACTTGTACAGGAGTAACTATAGATAAATTTGCTTTCTGAAGTGTTCATATTACATACCGTTTAAAGTAATCTTTTTTCATGGTTTTTGTGTTAGAAACGCAGAAAACGATCGCGGGAAACGGTGTTTCCCAATCGACGTACGTAGTCTCCACGGTCACAGCCACAGGAGAGTAGATGTAGTTCCTCAGAACATTTACAATCATATAGACACATCCGTACCAACACAGAATACAGGAGATCAGCCAAAAGAGCCTGCGGATAGATAAAACGTATTGTGCCGAGTTGAAAGTAAAAGAAAGTATTCATATTAACTCGAGGTTTCTTTTTTTGATAACTCTCTTTTACCTCTCCGGATACGAGAGTCGATTATCCACGAGGTATCTGACACCGTGGATGCTGCAATTACTCAAATACTGTTTAATGATCTTCCACCACCACGCGAGCCGCTTCCACATTACTGCTTGCTTTAAAGAAGTCTTGAGAAATTTCTTTGATCACAAGTTAAAAATAATTAGTGGATATAATTTACCATTTTACATAAAATGAACTAAAATACGTAACTTAGATTTAGTATCTACGTTAATTCTATTTCATTTTAATAAAAGGCACGCAGAACTATTATAAAATTCAGGCATTCCAATTTATTGAAACGAACTCGCTTTGATTGTACACTAAACGACTCGGCTTAACTGCCTACGTAACCAAAGTAAATCGATTTGTAGTGTATGTTACTTCATAAATAATACATATTTGATTTAATCTTTTATTGCAACGCATGGAATCTGATTCATAAACAGAAAACTGTTTTATGCGTTGCCTGAATGATTCTTACCACTTATGGGTAGATGGCAAATTACAAAACCGGTAAAAATCATTTGTAGTATGATATTTTAATAACCATGTAAGTATAACTAATTGCATACTTTCAGGAGAATGTGCTAGGTGATTTGTATTATCGTATGCATTACACAATCGCAGTCTTTTGAATTACTATTTATAAGAATTTTGGAGTCGAATTTGAATTTTGCGGAACTGATATTGTATATCCACAATTGCAAAGTTTTAACTAAACAAATTATTTTAAACAATATTTTAAGACACGGAAAAGACTAGTGGCGTCAATTATATCAAAGTTACGAAGCCACTAGCAGAGATGATAGCCTAAACTCTTGTATTGTCGGTAACGTCGAGTACGACACGAAAATGGCACGGGGGTCTTGAGACCCCCGAAGGTCTACCCAAAAATTTCCATAAGCTGTAACGTCTGTGCTGTGTATTTTAAGTCTGTGCTTTTAGTATAATAGTGCAAGTATTTTCTATAAGATACCGCTACTGTCGTACAAATGAAAACGGACACGTAAAGCTTAACAGTGACAGTCTGCTATCTATGATCGAAATCTTGATATTTCGAACCAAAATCCATTTACTGTCATTCATTAGTCGAACACAAAAGTTCTTGTGTTGTATAAAATTGTTTTAAAGGTGACAACTCATTTTTATTTGATCGTAAAAAATGGCTGATCCCAAATATGCCGACTTACCTGGCATTGTAAGTATTTTATACGTCTTATGCCCAAATGATGTTGACCTAATCTCATTATTAAATATAAAACATAACACAAAATATAGCAATGATTAATAAAAATAAAATATAAAAACAATTTATACGATTTCATGTTATCTAATTTTTTTATATCAATATACACATTTATGTATAATTCTTTATACACTGTTGTAATATCGAATTTGTGTAACAGGCATATGATCAAGCAGATGTCTATGAAACTACTGACTTACCAGAATCTGAACAATTTCAAATTTACCTTGAGGTATAGTTTGTAATTTATAATTTATTTAATTTTTTATATACAGACAATGTTATTAAAATCCTTACTTTTAGGATGAAACTGATTCTATAGAAAAATTACATATTAGTGCTACAGAGGCATTTAATAAATTTAAAGGTAAACATGTTATTAGCGAGACAGTTGATTTTTCAGATTGTGTGTCACTTAAGCCAAGAACAGGTTACAGGTAAATCTCCTATAGTAACTTATTGTAAATATGTGATTTATGCATATTACAATAATTATATATTTCAGGTTTGGAGATTGGGAAATTCCTGGCGAAGGAGAAAAGGAAACACCAATTCAAAAATACCAACGTTTGCAACATGAATTTAAAGAATTATATGATGAAATAAATGACTTGAAGGTACTAGATCATTTCTTTGTATGTTAACACATTAGCGACCATGCAAATTTTTTGCGTTTTTAATACTCATTGCCAATGAAAATAAAAAAAATCTTAAGCTGATTGCCAAAAATTTCTGACATTAAAACAGAAACAAAAATTTTAAGAATTATTTTGAAATATTAGTCTTGTAATGATCTGTTGTTTAAAATGAAGAACTTTCTATCAAAGAAAAGTGCTTGCGAAGATATGAATTCACGTCAATGGTCGTGAATATGTTAAACATCTTTTATTATTTGTATTGTTTACTTGTAACACCATTGTATGTATTATGTTGCTACTACAAAATAGCAAAAAGCAAAGGATGAAACAGAAGTCAAATCTATTGTTGATATAATTTCACAAGTACAAGATTTAGGAAAACAATTAGATTGCTTAAAGTTAGAAGAATGCCTTGGTGCTGATCTCGTTGCGACTCTATCGGATCCACAAGGCACTAGATTGAAGTAAGTTTCTATATATTTATAATATTTCTAAGAATATTTAAAATTTATTATCAACTAATATTTCAGGCAATTGGTGTCTCAAATAGAAGCATTCAAACAAACAAATATTCTCACCTCTGAACCTGCTTCAAAGGCACAGAATATAAAAGTTGAGAAAACAGCTGAACCTAATGTACTTAAGTATCAAATGACCTACCTTCCAGAAAAAGCAAGGATGCAAGAAGCAGCAAGAATTGCATTACTTGAACAAAGACTATGTAATTTAGAGAGTATTATTGGAACAACTACTGATAAACTTTCGAAGTTTTCACAAGTAAGTGACTTTTATTCCAATAATAAAAATTCTTTTTAATAATAACCAAATAACAAGAGTCATTTGTCAGAATCTCAAATGTCAAGGGATCATGGAAGCTGTTCAAGAATTAGGAGCAAAAGCTGCATTATTAGACACGTATCAACTAGACATCATCGAAAATCGATTAGCTTCTCTAATCCATAGAATGGATAACATTGCGCAGAAAAAGAGTGCATTGGCTCTAGATTCGGAACAAGAGCAAAAGGTAAAATATTTCTAAAGATATATTTATAAAGAAAATAGTAAAGAAACTCGCCGAAAATAAGTTACTAAATCCCTTTCAGATTTCAGAAATGTATGAAATTATGAAACAAACAGAAACTATGTCACAGATTTTACCACAAACTGTAAATCGAATGTTGGCTTTAAATACAATTCATCAGAAAGGTATACATGTATACTGAATATAATAATGTATAAATAATAGTTCTGATTACGACTTCTATTGTATTTTTAATATTTTTTTTCAGCTGCTGAATTTAACAAATGCTTAACACGTTTAGATGAGTTACAATTACAAATCACATCAGATTTGGACAACAACAAATCCCTTTTGAAAGGAGTCCAAGACAGTTTTGCATCAAATTTAGAAATTATTAAAAACAATATAGAGGCATTAGATGAACGCATTAAAAAAGTTAGCAAGTGATAATTTATAGTAATGAAAGCTCATTATAGATTATTATATTCTAATTTTTTAAATATGTATTTATTAAATTATATATTTATCAGTACTTTTTCAATTGCTAGTAGCCCAATGTGGAAATAATGTATCGCATTTCTAATGTATTTTTTATCATGTTTCGTAAAATTCATCTAGTTTTCAAATATAGTATTTTGAATGACAAATTAATTATTCTTGTATATTTTACAAATAAAAGAATCTTTAATGTATAAATATTCCAAATAAAAGATTAGCATCATGCTTTACAATTACATATAAATGTAACAGATACTACTTTTCTCACTTTGTTGTATGAGGATAATTAAAAAATATTACACTTAAAATATTTGTATATTTTATATTTATTTAAAATTAATTAGAATCGTAATTTTTGGAAGAACCATTTGTTTTTACCAGATTTATACCTGAAAACAAATATTTATCATTCACCTATGCATTATACATTATCCTATTGAATATTTCTTTAACAAGTTTAAAGTAATCATATAAGATGTGCTTTAAAAGCATGAAACTCACTTTTCTTCAAACTTAACACGTGTCTGGAATCTGACCTTCTTTCGCTTCATTGGGTCTTTAAGGTCCTTAGGCGTCACCTTATCCCATTGCAAATCTACAGTGTATCTTGTTGGCATCAAATGATTATAATTTAAAATCTGGAAAAATTAATATAAAGAGTATTAATTTAAATTACTTCAAAATATTAAAAAAAAGTTGATATGTTTGAATTTTACCTTTACAAAAGGCTTGATTTTAGATCGCTTGTGAAATTTTGCTTTACCCATTCTTTTGTGTACTTTTCGTGGGTATCTGTCAATTCCTGCTACCATGGCATGACCATACTGTTTTTCAGTAGTACCATCATCAAAATTACGCACTACGATAGCTTTTCTTCCAGCATATCGGCCACTAAGGACCAATACAACTTTCCCTGTTTTCATAATCTTCACCATCTTGAAGATATGTGCTGAAAAAAAAATTTTGTATATTAAAAATCAACTGAAAAACAATATTCGTTATAAAAACTTATACAAATTATTTTATATTAAATTACGAATTACTATCTTTCTATTGTATGAGTGTAAACACTGTTTTTAAAAGTATCGCATAACCTCTTATACAGACATGATCCATATTTTTAAGAATTATGCATAATTGTGTAAAACTAATATTTTTCTAACTATGTAAACTTCAAAGCATGTGTTCAACGTTGAATAATCTGAATATAAACAAAGTTGAAACATTTCTTGATATGTTGGAAAATCTAATATTAATATAAAAGTACCAAAAAAAACGCTTAATACTTCAAAATTATTAGAATAGACACTATTCAAAATAACAACACATATGAAAATTAATTATAAGCCAATTTTCCGATGTTTTTGGATTACTTTCTGCAGTGATAAATGTTACACACCTCACGGTCTTTCACACCGGAAAAAAGGAAGTTAACCTTACTTTCATTCCTTGAATTGTTCGATGTTCAAAACGCGATTTATAGATGTCGCTGTATTAGACATCCGGTGTTTATAATAAACCAATCCAATGTTACAACACGGAGTAGTCCATAGAGGCCACAAAATACCCTTTGAAAGTTTTTTGGTTCTGCATCTAAACATGGTATATATGTAAAAAATGTTTATACACTTATTGTGAAATTAATCATCAATGGAAACATACGCAAAAAAATCTTAAAATGGGTATTCCAGGCTTAACAACTTTTATAAATAATCGTTCTGATCGTTATTTGGAATATTATGAACTGCGTGACACATATTTGGTAATCGATGGTAATAGCGTTTGTTGTCAAATATATAATTTATACGCTAAATGTAATTGTGCATTTGGTGGTGATTACGATAAATTTGCTCAATGCGTGTCAGACTTCTTTGACGAACTCTTAAAATGCAATGTGATACCATTGGTCCTAATGGATGGTGGTTGTGAAGACAAAAAATTAAAAACAGTTATATCCAGAACTAAAGAAAAAATTCGAGTGGCATCTTTTTTTTCTCCAGTCAGTCAGCAGTGTATGAAATTTTTCCCTTTATTAAATAACCTTGTGTTTAAGGAAGTTTTAAGGGAGAAGAACATTAGACATGTTCAATGTTTATTTGAGGCTGATAATGCCATAGCTGCTGTGGCAAGAATACTGAATTGCCCTGTGCTCAGTTATGATTCAGACTTCTATATCTATGGAACATTGTATATACCATTTGATACGTTAGAACCTCATATAGTAAAGAGTTCAGATGGACAAAGTTATATGAAACGCTGTAAAATTTATAGAGTCGAGTACCTGTTGAATTCTTTTAAAGGTTTAAGTCAGTCCATGCTGCCATTGGCTGCTATATTATTAGGAAATGATTATGTGAAGCATGGTATATTTAAAAATTTTTTCAGACAATTAAAATTGCGAGGAATCGGAAAAAAAAGATACAATCATAGATATTATAACATAGAAGCAACTTTTATTTGGCTGAGTAGATGTACTCTGGATAAAGCAATCATTGGTATTCTAAGTAGATTGCGTAAACCTACGAGACAAAAAATATTGAGCTTAATAGAAATCAATATAAATGGTTACACAAATGCATCTGCAGATATACTTGTCCCCTTAGGATTCTCAAAGGAATTTGCTGCTCAAGTTACAACACATTCTGTAAATAGAATTTTTAAATTTGATGGAGATATTAATAATTTGACGTACATAGAAGAAACCTGTAACGAAGGGGATGGTGAAACAAGCGAAGATGAAGAACAGAGCGATGAACTTGAAATATTAGATACATCTAATGTATCAGAATTTATTTCCTCCAATGCATTAATTAGAAAGTTACCTGTATGGTTTTTGAATGAATTTCTCATGGCCAGGTATCCTTCATATTTTATGGACTTATTAATTCGTCGTTTATATGTTTGTCCAGTACAAATAGAAGATCATCATTATCCATCAAGCATTGTAATAAGTTTAAAAATTATTAGTCTTATATTTGCACTTTTAAAATCAGGGCTAGAAAATCAGAGAAATGTTATGCGATACATGATAAGAAATTGTAATAACAAAATTACATATCACGAATTAGAAAGCTCCAATAGTATACTTTCCTGTGCAGTACCATCTCTGTATAATCTTAGAAATATTCCCTTAATAATTCGACAACAGATTGTAAATAATACCTTAGGAATTAAGGACAATCAATGTATAAATGAACTTTTACCAGAATGGATATTATATATTGCTTGCATGAAATATTGGACCGAATATCAAGAACTGTATAGATTGCATAAGTGTTATGCATATTCTTTATTTGTTTCTTTGTTATTTAATATAATAGATTCCAAGATAGGAAAGCACAGAAATATGAACTATTTTCAAAAAAAATATGATTCAGTAATTCAGAATACACAGAAAAAAAGGAAAGCAAGTAATTATAAGCCACAATATGAAATGAATGTTACAATTTTTGAAGCCTATAATGATATTAATCCAGATGATTGTTTATTAGCAGCACCATTTTTTATTTCTCATTTCGAAATGGACAAAAAATTATATTCAAATCCAAAAAAATTTAATAGGACAATTGTTCATGCATTCGCGGATTTTCAAAGCTGCTTATATCAAACTATGAACTTGAATGCACTCTTAGATTATCCTTACCCGCAGATCAAAATTGCTAATTTGCTTAATGGTACCTTATTATATAATTTCTGTAATAATTTTAAGACACGTTGTAATATCGATATATACATAAATACAGTTTTGCAAAGTTCTCCAAGTTTGTTAAGACTGTTGCATGTACTTTTACTGAAAGTAAGACCTCTGTTTCCACAATTATTTCAAAATGAAGTAAATTCTCAGAGAAAACAAGTAATCAGAAGGAAACGCGTGAAATCTAACAAAAATGAAATTGATAGCGATATGGAGTATTTCAGTGCAGATGAAAATTTACAAGAATCATCATTTTATGATGCAAACAATTCTTTTTCCATGTTAAACTTTACATGATAAATGTCTTAATCTTAATTTTAATTTGTAAACATATATACATATATATTTTATAAAATTGTAAAATAATAATAAATTGGTGAATCACAAATATTCTATTTTTGTTATTGTTATTTGTTATATGTAAACTCTTTTAATTATTTATTTTTCCAAATAATGTATCTTGTATCTCAATTTTCTTTTGAAAGCAGACTGTTTTTTATTTTGATTTCCATATCTTAAGGTGGGTAATCTTTTATACTGAAAAGGAAATAACATTTGTTATAAATTATAAAGATCTTATAATAAAATTTTAATTACATTTTTGTATATTTCCCAGAAAGCAGTAAATGCTGCTTTTAAAGTATTTGCTTCTTCTCTTATGTTAGGCAAACAATAGGCATCTTCTCCATGCATTACAATTAATCCTACATAAACTGCACACTTTAATTTCTTGATCAATTCTTCTCTAAATGCTTTTTTATTATTATCAATCGGATAATTACGACGTAAATATTCGCTTATCGAATTTATATTGACATAAAGTTTATGCAATTGTAATCTTTTTATGGCAACACGTATCATCTGTGGTGATACTTGGATATGACCTTTTGCTAATAAATTGTTTAATAACATTATAAAGTGAGATAATGACGTATTGTATAATAACCTTATAAAAAGTGAAAAATATCTCACATGGTAAATTTGAGTTATTATTGTTAGTATGTCCACTACCTTCTGTATCATAAAAATTATGACTGATTTTTAAAGAAAGTTTCTGTTTTATGCGCATTATTTATTATAAAATGTAATAAGATTAGTAAAATTTTCAACTACTAATTTGTATGGGATATATTCCAATAAAAAAGATGAATGCTAAAAAAAGAATACTGCAGAAGTATATTTATATGTTATTTATTTGTCTTGTTTA